CTCTTTCCCTTTTTCCTTCTTTCCAGATACGTCATCCCCTGAGGAAGAATATAAGGTGGCCTGCCTGCTCTTGATCTTTCTTGCTGTTTCCCTCCCCCTCCTTGCCATGGACCCAGCTTCCTTCTATAGCATTGAGAAGGATGGTAAGTAAGGAGTAGGTTTGAGGACCAGTGCAGTTTAGGTTAGTGTCCTGGGGTCGGGAGATGAGACGGAGACATTTATCTGGAAAACAGAGACTTCTGACTCAGATATAAAGTTCTGTTTCAAAAAGCACTCGTGAATGAACTATTCCTAAAATTCAATTCCAGTGAAATGTCATAGGAATATCCTTCTCCTAATCCTCAAATACCTTCCAGTCCTTTTGGTGTCAAACAGGGATGGCCCAGCCTGAAAAAATGAGAAGTTACTAGCTGGGGTCGCCTGGGGTGGCTCACTTTCCTTTCTTTTCTCTCCCTCTCTGTCAATAATAACCTAGGTTACAGCAACAATATTCACTGCTTGACCAAAGCCATCATCCAGGTGTCTGCTGCCCTCTTCACCCTCTACAACAAGAACATTGAAACTCACCTCAAGGAATTTCTGGTGGTGAGTGGGTATAGGTTATAAGGAATGGGCGATTGCAAAGTCTGGTGGGAATTGGTTTGACTTAAATCCATAGACAGTTATGGTTGAGCAGGCCTTGGAGCCTAACCTCCCATCCTATTCATTAAGTAGTGAGAGGCCACTTTGTGAAAGGCGGGGGTTTCTTCTATATTCTCTAACAGCTGGTATTTCAGCCTCTGCCCAAATACTTGGAAGGAGCATTGGACTAAGAGTTAGCAAATCTGAGTTCTAGTTTTGGATCTGCCACTAAGCAATTGTGTGATCTCTGAAGACCCAAACTTTTGGGTCCTCAGTTTCCCCATTTATTAACTGAAAGATTAAACTGAATCCATGATTCACTACCTTGATGTGCATTACATTATCCTGAGGAATTTGTTAAAATACAGATTTCTGATCCTTACACCAGACCTACTGAATTAGAATATTCTAGGGTGAGTCCAGGCCTCTGTTTTTAACAAGGTCTCCAGGAGACCAGATGTACAGTGAAGTTGGAGAGACACTGAGTTTTATAATCTATAAGGCCCTTTTCAACTCTAATACTGATAAAAAGTCAAGCTTTTTTCAAATTCTCAAACTTCATTGTAAGTCAGAATCTCCTGGAGAATTTCTGATTCAGTGGATTAGAGGTGGGGCTGGAAAATTTGCATTTTCAACAAGTTCCGGGAAATGTTGGTGCTGCCCATCCTGTGATCTCACTTTGAGAATCACTGGTCTAGATTTCTAGAGACTGGAACTTACAGTCAAGCAGCTGATTTTACTATAGGTTATGTCCAGTTTGTTTGAAAAAAATTGTTAAAATTTTTTTTAGCCGAAGTTTGACTCCCTGTAGCTATCATTATTGATCTAAGTTTTGCCTCTGGAAAATCACAGAATAAGTAATCTCTTTCCTTTGTTTAAAGAGGCCCCAGAGCTTCCCATTCTAAATACTCCATGGAGGAATCCCATCCATACACTTCTGAAACATGGTCCAGTACCCACTGCCTGCTTGAGCATTCTCAGCAATAGTGAGCTTATTCTTTTGCAAAGCATGGTCCTGATTTAAAAACTAGGTCCTTATCTGTCTCTTTTTAGGAGGAAACAGTAGATCATATGCTCTAGGGAATCTCACTCTTGTCCTGAGAAGCACATGTCAGGGACTTGGAAGCTTAGTGAGAGGGCCTCTGTTTAAACTGGGACAACAGGCCGCACAAAATGGGCTCTGAGCATCTTGGATAGAAAGAGGATTCACACCAGATCTCTAAGATGGGGTGAGAAGGGAATCACCCCCCGCCTTTCCCCTTTTACCCTCTTTGTTTGCTGAATACAGGTAACCTGGGCCTGGGATGCAATTAGTGACATATCTTTCTCCCTCTTTGATCTGTTGGGGGCCTGAAGGTGAACGAAGAGGACAGCCATTCGGGAGTTGACAGGAGGAGAATACCAAGAGCGCTGTGTCTGAATCAGAGGCCCAGCTCTGTCTCTGGTCGGGTGGGGAGTCAGCTGGAAACAGTCTGATGACAGTGGCGTCTGGAGGCCGCCTAGGAAAAGAGATTAATCTCCTGGCACACACTATTACCTGCCTCTGCGGCAGGTTCTATCTTTGCCCCTTGCAGCCTCTCCTCCAGCATCCCCAGCAACCTCCTGTTGTCTGCACTGGCTAGTTTAGAGGCAGTGTGCACCTCTGAAACCTGGGGGATTTGCCGCTTGCCCACCCTGAGCCTCCAGGAACATCCCAGCACTTCTTAACTCACCTCCTTGATCTTTTGTTGACTTCTGTAGTCTGAGGCTGTCGTACTCTGACCATAAAAATCTGCTTCCTGGGCTTCCCTGGTGGCGCAGTGGTTGAGAGTCCGCCTGCCGATGCAGGGGACACGGGTTCGTGCCCCGGTCCGGGAAGATCCCACATGCGGCGGAGCGGCTGGGCCCGTGAACCGTGGCCGCTGAGCCTGCACGTCCAGAGCCTGTGCTCCACAACGGGAGAGGCCACAACAGTGAGAGGCCCACGTACCGCAAAAAAAAAAAAAAAAATCTGCTTCCTTACAAATTCTTCCCTTACAGGTAGCTTCCGTCAGCCTCCTGCAGCTGGGCCAGGAGACTGACAAGCTTAAAACCAGAAATCGGGAATCCATTTCTCTGCTCATGCGCTTGGTATGTATCTGGTGTAAGTTGGTCTTAGAGGAAGGGCCAGAAGGAGGTTCCTCTTTAGGGTCCTTGGCTCCCAGCCATTGTTATCACCCAAAAGCATTAACTAAGAACTTAATTCTGCCTGAGGAGGTCTAGGCCTTACGTTCTGGCTAACATTCTAGACTTGTCCTGTATCCCAAGGTAGTAGAGACTTCGAGGACTTCTCTGCAGGACAGGGTCTTCCCAGCCCCTAGCTAACTGGGCCCCTTTCCCTGCAGTGTTCTTGAGTCTGACGTGCTGGGGCAGCTGTGTCCCTCATCCTTAACTATCTGTCCAGTACATGTTTGGTTTTACTTGACCACTTCCTACCGCTGTATTTCTTGTCCTTAAGAGTACCACGAAGAAGGTGCTGAGTAGCACACAGCTGAACTGGGGGAGGGGGATGGGGGCTCAGAGGAGGGATGGGATTTTAGCTGAAAAGCTGTAAGGCAGGGAGCCAGGTGGGCCATGAATCAGACAGCTCCTGCTGTCTCTTCTGTCTTCCCAAGCTGTGGCCTTTCCCCGACTTTGGCAGAAAGTTCTGGGAACTCTGACCCAGTTAACTTTAAAAAATCTTTTCCTCTTGACGCTGTTTCCCTCTTCAGCATGCTTACTCTTTTGCTCTAAAGTTTGATTCCCTCGGTTAGTGCTGCACTTAGAAGTGGACAGGAGGGGCTCCTGTCCGGGGCCCTGGGTTTAAGTGGCCCCCTCTGGCCTACAGGAAGAGGACATGCCCACCTGGAGCCTGTGCCCCACCTTGAAGCCCCCACTAAAGATTTCTAGGGCCTCAGAATTCTCTGCTGAGCAGCTCCAGCTCACTTGTAGGGCTTGTGCTGAGCTTCTCCAAGTCCATCCTACTGAGGCAGACTGTGCTCTAGAGCCCACGGAATGTATGGCTGGAGTTTAGATGTGCAGACGGGAAGTTTATGTGTGTATACAGATCCCCCAGACTGGGAGTGGGAGGAGAAGGGGGCCAGGCTGGAGGCTGATTCCCCCTCTTCCTCCTATTCTGGTGCAGAACTCTGAGGGGTCTAAGAATTCTTGATTCAAACCTGTCTTCCATGAAATTGTAAAGGTACACTCAGCCCTCCATATCCACAGGTTCTCAGCCATGGATTCAACCAACTGTGGACTGAAAATATTAAAATAAAAATTCCAGGAAGTTCCATAAAGCAAAACTTCAGTTTGCCCACACCAGCAACTATTTAAGCATTTACATTGTATTTACAATGGTTTATGCAGCATTTACATTGTATTAGGTATTATAAGTAACCTAGAGGTGATTTAAGTATATGGGAAGATATTGTAGGTTATATGCAAATACTATGCCGTTCTATATAAGTAACTTGGGCATCTACAGATTCTGGTATCTGAATCCCCTGAATTAGTTCCAGGGGTGGTCCTAGAACAAATCCCCTGCCAGTACCCCATGAACATTGAGAGACGACTACATATTGCAAAGGTCACAAGGAGGAATAGTTTGTCTGATTGATTTAGTCACCTGGTATATGGGCTTCCATTTGTACTCTTGGCCAGGCCGACAAATATTAGGGGCAGGCAAGCCTGGGACTCCCTCTGGGTCTCCTTCTTTAAATACAAAGGCATTGAGTGGTATCTGTGTCTCAGTTTCTCCAGCTTGAAAAAGGCCTAGGCTGGGCTGATTAAGGATTATGATGGAGAAGAGAAGAGAATGGACCTGAGGGGGTGGGGGTGAGGTGAGGGGTGAGAAGGCACAGGAGGCAAGGGAGGGCAGAGGGAAGGCAAGTGTAGTATGCTAGGTAGAGCACAGTCTTCAGAGCAGCGGGACCTAGGGCAAGTTAATTAACCTTTCTGAGACTGATTCTCCAGCCATGAAAGTGGGCAATTATCCTTATGAGAGAGGGGCAAGGATTCATGAGACGGTATATATAAAAGTGCCTGGTACATAAGAGAGGCTAAATAAATGTTAGTCCCCTCTCTCCGCTGCTGAGTTTAGTTTCTGGATGATTTGGGCATACCTGTTCATTCCCTTGGGCAGTTTTCACCTCTGTGAGGTTGGAGGGGATGCTGTATTGCCACTCAGTGCCATCTCCTCCCTCTGCTTTGAGTCCCACCCGCCCCCCGCCCCAAAGTCTGTCTGCCCCTTAAGGCATCACAGGCCTGCAGAGTGGCTGGAACAGAGCTAGGACCAGGCACTTTTTGTAGGAGGGAAGAGACAGAGGGCCTAGCTGCTGCAAAGCAAGTTAAATGCAAATGGTTCCACAGAGAAATTGGAAATGACTGAAGGGAAGGAGCTGTATTTTGAGTTAAGAGGCTACTCATGTAGCCCCAAATCCTGGGCAGGCACTTCTCTCAGTGGGGTCTTTCTGTCTTGGCTGTCAAGCCTGGGCAGTGCCCATCCCCACTACTGTCAGATTGTTCCTGGCTTGGGTGTCACGGGGGAAGGAATGACTCTCTCATAGGATCCTGGAATCCTAGATGTCAGAACCAGATCAGATGCTGGCAGTTAGTCCAGTCCTCACAATTCATAGGTGAGAGGCAGGGAAAGATGACATCCAAGGTCTCCCCCAGAATACATGGGCAGATTTGGGACTAGAACCCATTTCTTGGCCTTCACTCTAGGGCTGTTTCCACTACTATGAATTTCCTCCAGTTAGGAGCCCTGTGATTTTCTGTGCTTAATAGAGTGGAGAATAGAAGTCTTGGGCAAGTGGGTCTTCTTGAAGCCACCACTCATTTCCCTGTACCCAAGCGTCATGTCCTGGAAAAGAGATCCTATCTCTCTCCTGGCTTAAGTTTTGAAAGTCTCGTGTGTAGCAAGAAATTCTTTCTGTCATCCAACCCAAGATCAGAGCTACAGTTTTACGGGCAGATTCCTTTCCTTCAGCCTGTGGTGTCTGCTCTTCTGAGGCTGTTGTGTGTATTGTGTGTGCATGGTTTGAGAATTGCAGTATCTTACAAATTTTAAAACTTGAAAGGGCTTCAGGGAGAGAAACATGTTAGAGTAGAGATGGTAGATTCTCTTCCCTGAGTGAATTTTCCGGACTTGAAACACCAGACATATTGGGAAGGCCCATCTGTGTGAACTGCCAGAGGATATGGGACACTTCTCTCCAGAGTGTGTTTTTAGTCCCACAACCTCTTGGGTGAGGAGAGTACCGAAGGAAAGACACCCTGTTCCTTCCTTAGGGAAGGGGGCCCTCTGGTCCAGCGCTAGGCTGTGCTGCTCTTCGCTAATATCTCCCTGCCCCGCTTCCCTCTGTCTTACCCAGGTATCTCCATCTATCATTCTGCTTCGCTGTGCGGGCTGCAGGGATTACCGCAGCACACAGGCTTCTAATTAAACTAATTAATCATGCCTGCTCCTTTATGCAGCATCCTTACTGTTCCCCAAGCACTGTACTAAGGGAGGGAGGAGACTGAGGCCCAGCCCAAGAGGACCCGTGTGGATTCCAGACCCCTCTTTCTTGGCCTGTAGTGGTAATTGTTTCTTCCTCTGCAGAGCCTTGTCGTTAGCTCTTTTACCCATCCTTACCTGCATCTGTGCTGCCCACCCACGTATGATTTAGCATCCAGAATGGGAGAGAATGGGAGTTTTTCCGTTGCTAGAGAAGTGATTCTTTCCTGCTTTCTTCTTCTGAACCCTTTATATAACCCTGAGGAGGGGCACAGAGGCCATTATAATGGAGCTGAAGAGGCCACATTGCTTTCCTAGAGTGGAATGAAGTGTGGGAGGAATGGGGGGAGAGTGCCTTGGGAACCCCAATCACTTGTAACTCTAAGCACCCCAGAGGGCCCAGGGAACTGAATGAAGAGGAACAGGGTGTCACTGAGGTTTGCCCTACCTGGGGTCCTCATCTGTCTTGGCCCTTTCTCTTCCAGGTGGTGGAGGAATCCTCCTTCCTGACACTGGACATGCTGGAGTCCTGTTTCCCATATGTCCTGCTTCGAAATGCCTATCGGGAGGTATCCCGGGCCTTCCACCTCAACCGAGTGTCGGCCAGTACCCACTGAAGGGCCCCTTGGACCTACCTCAGCCCATGCTGCAGTGGCAACTGTGGCTATTTTCTCAAAGGGTGGGAATGGGGTGGGGTCACTAGAGAGAGGATGAGCCAGAGTTGGTGAAGAGGAATATGGGGGAACAACCCAGGGCTGAGATATCATAGAGAAGTGGGGCCCACTGGGGCGGGGAGTGGAGGAGTTTTTAATGGAAAAAAGTTAGGGGATTGGGGCCACGGGTATGAATTTTTACAATGAAAAAAACTTGACACACAAGTATGTTCTCTATCTTCTGTGGACTAGAGCTTGAGCTCTGACTGGCATGGGTCTCTTTGACCTTCATCACTATTCTAGGATAATGCTGGCGGGCAGAGATGATCAATCATCATATTAAACCATAATGAGCCTATAATCCTCCCACTGGAGCTGCTTTTGTCTTCTGCACATTCATTAGGACGATTATCTCCTCTCTTCCTTTTCCAAATGTGTTCAGCAAGCGTTCGGCCTGCCCCTCCTGCAAAGTAGTAGCAAAGGAACCCCTCTTTCC